TATAAACACAGATACATCAATATTAATTTTACTGATTTTAAACAGATATATCAATGTGCATTTTACTGATTATAAACACAGATAAATCAATATGCATTTACTGATTATAAGCACAGATACATCAATATGCATTTTACTGATTATAAACACAGATACATCAATATTAATTTTACTGATTATAAACACAGATACATCAATGTGCATTTTACTGATATAAACACAGATACATCAATATGCATTTTACTGATTATAAACACGGATACATCAATATTAATTTTACTGATTATAAACAAAGATACATCAATATGCATTTTACTGATTATAAACACAGTACATCAATATTCATTTAGTGATTATAAACACAGATACATCAATATTAATTTTACTGATTATAAACACAGACACATCAATATTAATTTTACTGATTATAAACACAGATACCTCAATGTGCATTTTACTGATTATAAACACAGTACATCAATATTCATTTAGTGATTATAAACACAGATACATCAATGTACATTTTACTGATTATAAACACAGATACATCAATATGCATTTTACTGATTATAAACACAGATACATCAATGTGCATTTTACTGATTATAAACACAGACAGATCAATATGAATTTTACTGATTATAAACACAGATACATCAATGTACATTTTACTGATTATAAACACAGATACATCAATGTGCATTTACTGATTATGTAGACATTAGTCTTTTCGCTCAACATTTTCTCGGGGGAGGGATGCTGTATTATAGTAGTAAGTATCGACATTGCCCTAGACAAATCATTACATTACAGGTGATAAAATTGAATAAGCATGTTTTACAAGTGTTGAGGTAACGTTTTCTTGAGGATGGACAACTATTTAATTAAATGCTTGACCCTCAAACACCTTCCCAAACTGTTTGTAGCCATAGGAACCTATGTTATAGACTATTTTAACTGAAACAAAATATCTTTTAGTCAAAGAAAGCAAATCCCAACGACATTTGAATCTATTTTCTTTTTGCTCAAATCCAATTTTTCCCGGACCCAGTTAGAAAGGATGGTGTAGGTGATATTTACAGTGGTGTCACAATACGTGTGAAAGACATGCCTCATTTCCAAAGGCGAGGGGATCTTGACCTATTTTTTTTCAAAGTGGGTTGAATTTTCACTTAGAGACAAATTCTGGTAGACTTATTCTAGTGATCTCGATTGCAGACAAGACGTATACTCCAATGCAAGAAAAATCCATACGCCTTGCTGTTGGTACTGGATTAGAGATATAATTTAACAAATGACTGTGACTTCAATATACTAAATTCATTCTCAAGTTAAAAATGAACTCAGTGTGACTAGCGTTCTCATCACCAATGCATTATTCATCTAATCGTTTCATTGAAAACTCTTCAACCTTGACAAATATGTTATTTATAATAAATAATGAAAGTTCTTTTATCAGCGGGATTGAATATACTTTCTTATATCATTATATTACATATCGTTGTTCTATTTATGGAATATTTAACTGCAGAAAACCAAAACATAGCTCGTTCTTTGTGATGCATATATGGACTTATATAACTATATTGTCAGAATCGTGCAGTACTTTTCCATAGTTTCATACTGCACGACACGTGTGTCTAAAACAATATATTTTATTAGAAACTACTTAATAAATAGTGTATTCTCGTTTAGTATACGCTTTTGTCTTTGGTTTCAACGAGTTCCTTGTGGATGAACTCAACAATCTGGTTGGAAGTAGACGATAAAGTTAACAATGTAGACGAGTTCACTGAATCACTAATGGAACTTTCAAAAACAAGAAAAAGAATGAACCCGAATAAATATGATATTTGCAAAGCAAACAAGAAACGTTAGAGACGCAGAAAATGAAAATACCATTTATATCATTAAAGCAGTTATTTAGGAGAAAAAGTTTCGCAAATTGAATGGTTCAAACTATGACCAGTGTTCTCTATAAAATCTGCACAGAAAAGCACACTGAGGTCAAAGGCTAAGGCATATCTTTAAGATACCTACCGTTTTACAAATCAGTCAAAGTACGAAATTCAAGAGAGAAAAAAATACAGCTTAAGGTTTTGATAGGAAGCTAAGAGCATCAGAGCCAAAAAGCCAAGTTATGAGTCTATGCTCTTAAAATAGGTGAAAGAAGGAGTGAGAAGCAGCAAGCTACAAATAATTTATTTCCCTAGAATACAAAAGTGAAAATGAGGAAAATAACATGTTTTTTCCGAATTAAATCCTAAATTAATATAAAATTACAGACACCAGCCCGAATAATTTAAGGTTCCGAATAAACTTTAGTAACAATCCATATTAGGTCCAACGCTGAAGTGTTGATTTGTCTGTGATGACCCGTATTATGATGATGTGCAAAGGGTCTTTTGTAGAAACACAATATAATTCCATGTTTGAATTCATTGTAAGTCCTAGTGAATATCTCTGTCCATGGATATTATTAGAACACTTTTGTATGTATTTCCGTAGAAAATTCTTTGAATAATTTGAAGAAATAAATTCCAGCCGATGGGAACTAGGACAAAAAAATATTGCAAACTGATTCTGCTAGATGCACGAATGAATATTATTCCAGAAAAAAGAATATGTAGTCTTCTACTTGACCTCAGGTCACAATTGATATCTTCTAAAAACAAATCAATGCTTAATGGAAAAAAATCTAGAAAGTTCTTAATTTTTACAAACATTGTTAGCTAAAATTACCAGTCTGTTACTAGAATTATAATATATAACCTGGACAATGTCAGGTACACCAGGTAAATTGTAGGGGAATCCTAATAAGCTCGACCCAGACCCAAATAAACATATTTTTTATTAATAATGATTTTGATAATAAACCCATGCACAGAGAATATTTTAGCGAACTATTAGTTGTTTACATGATACAATAATCAATAATTCAGGTCAGATAGAAAATAAACTTGATTTTTGGACAAGTTTATTTCCAACTTACAATGTTACAATGCAATAGCATATAATGGAAGAAAAAATAAAACTAACTAACTAACAATGCAAATTAATCATACATACCATATGACCCATATCATGGAAAAACTGACACACACTTAAATTGTATATAAAGTTCGGCTACATTTTCAACTAAAATCACAATCTTCTTATTGACACAGAATAAGGCTATAAATAACTTGGTTTTGCCTTGAACCTATTTTTCACCTTATTCGTTGTACAGGCCTACAACGTTACATGGGGTGAAACACTGGTCACCAGGTAAAGTGATTTGGAAATTACATGCAGGCGGAAAGCCACGGAAAAGCATGGATTACATGAGCATTTGACCATAACTATTATTCACTCTTATGGATTTAAGCTTGATACATTGTGATCTGAGACACAAGTCATTTGGATTTTGTCAGTGGTGGGCGTACTGTACACCATCGTTTCAGGCCATAGGGGTTAAGTGTCAAAGTTTTATTTTATTTGATTTGTGAAACCTTTTCTCGGTTCTGTAATATGTCGGGTGATAAAGTTTTTTTTTTACATTGCTTGCTTTGTTATTGCCGTTTTAGTAACAAATAGTTTTGTTTTATTTTAGGCTGTTGGATACTATTGCAGACTACGGGAGTCTATTGTAGACTACGGGAGCCTATTGTAGACTACTGGAGCCTATTGTATATTATGGATCCTATTGTAGCCTGTTTGATACTATTGTAGACTACGGAAGTCTATTGTAGACTACGGGAGCCTATTGTAAACTACTGGAGCCTATTGTAGATTATGGATCCTATTGTAGCCTTTTGGATACTATTGTAAACTAAGGGAACCTATTGTAGATTATGGGAGCTTTTATAGCCTGTTGGATCTTATTGTAGCCTGTTGGAAACTATTGGGCATTAGTAGACACTATGGGAATTTAGTGGAAACTATTGTAGCCTATTGGATAGTATACATTGTGGGATCTTAGTGAATACTAGGGAGTTTAAGGGTCATTGAGAAGGCTTAGTGGACATTATTGGACATTATTGGATGTTATTGGGCTGACAGAGTCTTCTTGGAACTGATTAAGTCTTATGGGAGATCTAGTGTCAAATGAGAGCTGACTATAACTATCCGTGGTTGGATTGGATATAGCTATCTGTATTGCAGCATGCCGTCTACGTCTTAGTGTATGAAGATATATAGGTATGTAAATGAATATATATATATATATATATATATATATATATATATATATATATATATATATATATATATATATAAGGGATTCATGACGTATATGAACATGGATCGATAAGAAAGAGTTTTAGTTCGTATATTATATAAACTGTAGAGTTAGTTTATCAAGTGACTTTCAGTTTACAGTGATGCATGTTCATCTATTTGTGTTCATCTATTTGTGTATTTAGTTGAACACAGTATTGTTTAGTGGAAACAATAGTGATAACATTATGAGTATTGCTCATTTTCCTTTGTTTTATCTCAAGAGATTTTGTGAATCTCAAAGATCAATGCATACAAGAGACAAAGTGAATCTCATTTTTCAATTTTCACTTTTAATTTTTCATAATATGTGGTATATTTGTTTTAGGCTAGAGGCCAATGAATCATATTTTTATATTTTTTTCTTTATCATTTCATGAGTGTATGTAGGATAAATTGCATCAATTGTATTGATGAATCTACGAATGTGTATTTAATTAATTAATTAATTAATTAATTCAATTAATTTGCTTCTTTAGTATTAATCCTTAGGCAGGAAAACGTGTGTGTATGTGTGTGATTTAGATTTTTAACACAGCTTTAACAAATGTTCAGTTATATTGCTATAACAGTGTGACAGTTTATAGTGATGTCTAGCATTGAGCATCATGCTGCAGACATGTGTCATGATGTTTCACCCAGTCACATTATCCTGACACCAGGCCAACCAGTCCTAACACTAGCATCTTAATGCTGAGTGCCACGCGAGGCAGCTGTTAGTACCATTTTTAAAGGTTTTGGTATGACTCGGTCGGTTCGAACCCACGACCTCCCGCATCAGAGGCGGACGCTCTAACCACTAGGCCACCGAAGCGGTTACAGAAAAACGAAATGAGTATTTAAGATCAAGGTTAATGTATTTGTATAGGAAAAACATGACAAATTTTGTGCGGTGATACTTAGAAGAAAAAAAACGCGTTCATTTTTTCCTCATACAAATGCAGTAACCAATATAAAGAATCAACTACTAAATGGGATTGCTTGAAATGTGAAGATGTTGATAAATGTGCCAGAAATATCACTTACTATATAGTCTTTACATCTGGCCAATGTATTTAGAACGGAAAGCTGTTAAAGTTAAACCATGTGATCCTCCCTCAGCACAAATCATCAATCAATAGGTCAACACGGTTGTAAGCTCTAGTGGTATAGAACTAACGTCTGACATAGTACAAAATGTTCTGTTATTTATATTTGATTTCTAATATATGATTGACCTTTGTCCATGAAATTGCTGAGTGAAGGAGTCAGCGCCTACCTGACTAATGTATATTTTATGAATATACATCATATTACATAGCTAGTCCTTAATTGTGGGCTATATTTTAAAATTGTTATAATTTTTTGGTAAACAAGTTTACTTGGGTTTGAGTTCGTTCTGTTGCTTTTTCACTTGGGAATTCCCAGTGTACCTGATATTTGCCATTTCTTTATTAATTTGTTTTAGTAATATACCTGATCTGCTTGACAACTCTGAATGTTCTAGAAATTAATATTTGACTCTCACCTATAATTATTAATTCCTATCTGAACATCAGAAGTAGAATCAGTCTTTTAGTTTTGTTCAGCTTTAATTTTCGAGGATTCATTATTCAAACTTTTGTTCACTTGAAATACAAAATGCTCATGGATCCTTTCCGGAATAAATCATTATTTTGGAACTGATGTGAATTAATTTAAGACATATTGATTTATATCACTTTGACATTAATCATTAACATATCAACACTTTTCCAGGCTATTTGTACAACAGGATATTTAACATTTTAATTCATTAGGAAAACAACTGGAACTCATTCGGAATACGCTTTACTTTCAGACTTGTGAGAAAACTTCTAGGAATATTTGGGATTTAATTCAGAATACTATAAGTTTCGCTTTGTATTCTTGGGATATAATTTTTTGTTGAATTTTATTAAACATATTGGCATTCGCTCTTGTCTGTTGCTTTGTATTAGACCATTAAATCGTAACAGTTCATAAAAGTCTACCTCTTGGCACGGCTTCTGGTCCAGATAGTTTGAGTAACTACTTTTGCGTGAGCTATGTAATAAACTCACATCGCTTTGTTAATTTTTTAACCAGTCTCTTAGAAAATCTACTATTCAAGACATTTGGAATGAAGCAAATGTTGGTGCAGTTTTAATGAATGGCTACCGTTCCATCAAATCTGATTACAGACCAATATCGCTTCTCAAAATTATTGGCAAGTATGTTGAAAGACTAGTTTTTAACACATATTTAATTGAATCAGCAAAAATAACACTTAATAAATTTCCATTGCGGTTTTATTGTGGGTGATTCTAGAATTGATCAATTAACATACCAATATGATACGTTCTACCAAACAATAGATTCCGGAAAGGAAATTAGAGTTGTGTTTTGCGACATAAGTAAAGTTTTTGACCGAGTGTGGTATAAAGGGTACTTGTTGACCGAATGTGGTATAAAAGGGTACTCGTTGACCGAGTGTCGTATAAAGTGTACTCGTTGACCGAATGTGGTATAAAAGGGTACTCGTTGACCGAGTGTGGTATAAAGGGTACTCGTTGACCGAGTGTGGTATAAAGTGTACTCGTTGACCGAGTGTGGTATAAAAGGGTACTCGTTGACCGAGTGTGGTATAAAGGGTACTCGTTGACCGAGTGTGGTATAAAGTGTACTCGTTGACCGAGTGTGGTATAAAAGGGTACTCGTTGACCGAGTGTGGTATAAAGTGTACTCGTTGACCGAATGTGGTATAAAAGGGTACTCGTTGACCGAGTGTGGTATAAAAGGGTACTCGTTGACCGAGTGTGGTATAAAGTGTACTCGTTGACCGAATGTGGTATCAAAGGGTACTCGTTGACCGAGTGTGGTATAAAAGGGTACTCGTTGACCGAGTGTGGTATAAAGTGTACTCGTTGACCGAGTGTGGTATAAAAGGGTACTCGTTGACCGAGTGTGGTATAAAAGGGTATTCGTTGATCGAGAGTGGTATAAAGTGTACTCGTTGACCGAGTGTGGTATAAAGTGTACTCGTTGACCGGATGTGGTATAAAAGGGTACTCGTTGACCGAGTGTTGTATAAAGTGTACTCGTTGACCGAATGTGGTATAAAAGGGTACTCGTTGACCGAGTGTGGTATAAAGTATACTCGTTGACCGAGTGTGGTATAAAAGGGTACTCGTTGACCGAGTGTGGTATAAAGTGTACTCGTTGACCGAATGTGGTATAAAAGGGTACTCGTTGACCGAGTGTGGTATAAAGTATACTCGTTGACCGAGTGTGGTATAAAAGGGTACTCGTTGACCGAGTGTGGTATAAAAGGGTACTCGTTGACCGAGTGTGGTATAAAGTGTACTCGTTGACCGGATGTGGTATAAAAGGGTACTCGTTGACTGAGTGTGGTATAAAAGGGTACTCGTTGACCGAGTGTGGTATAAAGTGTACTCGTTGACCGAGTGTGGTATAAAAGGGTACTCGTTGACCGAGTGTGGTATAAAAGGGTACTTGTTGACCGAGTGTGGTATAAAGTGTACTCGTTGACCGGATGTGGTATAAAAGGGTACTCGTTGGCCGAGTGTGGTATAAAGTGTACTCGTTGACCGAATGTGGTATAAAAGGGTACTCGTTGACCGAGTGTGGTATAAAGTGTACTCGTTGACCGAATGTGGTATAAAAGGGTACTCTTTGACCGAGTGTGGTATAAAGGGTACTCGTTGACCGAGTGTGGTATAAAGTGTACTCGTTGACCGAATGTGGTATAAAAGGGTACTCGTTGACCGAGTGTGGTATAAAAGGGTACTCGTTGACCTAGTGTGGTATAAAAGGATACTCGTTGACCGAATGTGGTATAAAAGGGTACTCGTTGACCGAATGTGGTATAAAGGGTACTCGATGACCGAGTGTGGTATAAAAGGTTACTCGTTCGCATATTGAAATCTACTGTTATCAGAGGAGGCCTTATAAAATTGTTCTCTAGATACATAAAAGAAAACTAGTGAAACTTCCAGGTGTGTTTTAAGATTTTTGGTATATTACTTGTGTGTCCGCCTGCGGTCCCTTACTTTTCTTAATATAAAAAATGATATATTTTATGGCATAAACTGCAATATACGTTTGCCATAATTATGTCTGATACATATTTAGCATCTATTGAAACGCTACACTGAGAGGGGCCACATGTGGCCGAGTGGTCTAAAGCGCTGACCGTTACGGATCACTGCCATCTTAACTCTGTCTGCGTGAGTTCGAGTCCAGACTCGGCTAACGTGGGTAAGAAAGCCTGCCAGTAGCTTCTCGTGGGGCGGTGGTTCTTCCCTTGGATTTTCCAGAGGTTTTCCTCCACCATTAATACTGGCCGCCATGTATAGCCTATCTTGTGCTAAAAAATGGTGTTAATCCCCACAACAACCAACCAACCAACCAAAGCTACACGGAGAAATAGGATGGGCAGTCTTGAATGCACAAAATACAATCTTGCACTGTTGTATAAAATGACAACTGCTTAAAGCCCTCGCTCTTTCACATATCTGGTTTCATCAGTTGTTAGTGATATTACTGGTAAGAACAAGTCTTTACTACAACTCGTTACTTCCTTTGGCCGATCTAGAATGGAATGCATGATTTTAGAGACTCGTCAAATAAACTCCATTAACATCTTTAAAAGGCACATGAAATGCTTACGACACTTTTGTTCCCAAATAATTTTATTGGGGTAGACGGAAATTTCAGTTTCTTTTTATGCATAGTTAGAACTTACTGCAGTGCACTTAATCCATATCTATTTGCAAAAAGAGATAATCGAATGAACTCCTTGTAAACGTGGGTCAGTAGAAAGCAACACAAAATTTTTTCATTTTGCGTTTGTTTCCAAGAAAAACTGTTTCATTTCTTTACAGTCTTTGGTAATCTAAATACCTTAATGTACGGCGATTCGATTTTAATTTGCCTTTCATAAATTTATTGAAATTTTGAAACGATTTACTCAAGTGCAAACTATTATTATACTTCCACCAGTCATAAACAGCTGCAAGCATCAATTTCCACTACTTTCCCAAACGATTCGCCATCGCTTCCACAAGGAATCGCTATAGAAGAAAGTATTTTTCACTTTTAATCTCGAATTTTTGTTCCATTTTATTTATTTATTTCCTTCACATTTGTTTTCTCCTTTTTTCCCCCAATCTTTGAACACAATTAATAAAATTTTCTCTTGTTAACTTCTTTCTTTATCTCGTCTTTCACATACATACTCGTTGTTCATCTTCCTCTTTTTATAGTTTGGCTAAATGCTACCGTTTAAGTATAAGAATCGTGATTTTGGCTGTTAAATAATTATTTTTTAAAAATTAAACTTTAATAGTATCTGGGATATATTCATAAATATTTACAAATTTTGTATTCTAAAAGAAGAAGAACAATATACGTAATTGGCTTTCGTTTTAATCCTTCTATATCATACATATCATAACAACCAACTACAACGTTTTCAAATAAAATATATTTAAAATAATCTCCAAAGAAAATTTCCATCCCCTACCTCCAGAAAATGAAATAGTTGTCAATTACTGATATACACGTTTCCTATAGCATGCAAGCATTTGAATTTAGTTTATGCTTTCCGGATGGATACATCAGAGCAACTGGCAGACCATTTCTCGATGAGGAATACTGTGGCTTGATTTCGTGGAGAGCAAAGTCTATATGAGTCGAACATCATTGGAAATAATTTTGTAAATGCAAATAATTATAGTGGAAATAAATGCGTTGTAAGTTAATCAAGGCGTGTTTCATCTGTGCATTAAGATAAAATAGTACATTTTGTCAAAA